TGATTGGTTACCGTATTTAAATAATTAATTAATAATTAAATCTACTGTAGGCATGAATGGAAATAAATTGCTTTAAATAGGTATCAAGTTTCCAGTACTAAGTTGCCTAGTAACAATTAATTCAGTGGGAAACGTTCCCACAAGTAGGGTCCAATGATACTTTTGGGAGAATAAAGACACAAAGTTTTGTACGCCGCCAATTCAAGAAAGAATGTTATCGGAGACAAGGAAAGAATGTCAAATGCTGAAAATAGCCGACTGGCTTGATCTCTGTACATGGTAATTGTACGAACATGTGCGATGGTTCAGAAATGTAGTTGTTCCCCGAGTTCGCTACGAAAGCCTATTAGGGCCACTAAAATATATATTTTTATGTCGTAATTACGACTTATTATGTCGAAATTTCGACATACGTATGTCGTAATTACGACTTATTATGTCGAAATTTCGACATAATATGTCGAAATTACGACATACGGATATCGAAATTTCGACTTATTGTGTCGTAATTTCGACATACGTAAGTCGTAATTACGACATACGTATGTCGAAATTTCGCCTATACAGACCCTATAATGTAGGGTTTGTGGCCATGGCCTATTATTTTACATAAGCGTAATACAGACATTTATTATGATCATTAACCTCTGTTGCGTGTTGTAACAGTATTATTGCTCGTTAAACCATAGAGCAAAGTCTTAACCACTAGACCACCGAGCTTGCGTTTGGTGACTAGTGATGAATTCGATCCGTTTTGCCCTACCTGACGTGTAATCGTACTGAATACTCAGTACGTCCCCAAATACTAGCGAAAAACACGTCAGGTAGGGCAAAACATCACTCCTATGATAATTTCCTGACGCAAACTCATATCCTAATAACACTTGCAGTTCCCGCTGCTACTAGGGAATCGAATTCATCACTAGTCACCAAGCGCAAGCTCGGTGGTCTAGTGGTTAAGACATCAGGCTAGATACCTGGAGGTCGTGGGTTCGATTCCCACCTGAATTACTTCCGATTTTTTTTTGCTAGTATTTGGGGACGTACTGAGTATTCAGTACGATTACACGTCAGGTAGGGCAAAACATCACTCCTACCATTACCGTACTTATTTGGCAACATAGAAAACCTAACAAAAACACAAAGGATACTGTAGCACACACACGTACAGCATGCATAGCTTTGCGCCTACTTGGCGTTCCATACAAATATATCCCGGCCGAACCGGTCCTACACCACCGACCGGCCTAGCTAGCTCTCTCTAGGCCTAGATAAGTTCTAAATAAGTTTCAAAGGTTAGTTAATAATAATAATCAATATTAGTCAAGGGGGCGACTTGACTGGATCACACCAAAGAATGGGGTGTGTTAACTAAAGAAAGGGGTGGGGTGATCTCTAGGCAGCAGACTGGTACCTCTTGGAGAGAGGATGTAAAGCATGGTATGTGGTCTGAGGAGACAGAAATAGCTAATGGAATGGAGGCTTGGTGTTATTTTGTATAACAGAAACTGGGAATTTAAGTGAGTAATGATTAAGTAACTTGGAATTGTAGTTACCTGAGTTAAAATTAACAATGATAATGAAATGATAGTTATTACTGTAAATATTACTGATTATATACATTAAATGTATATTGAGCCCAGTTGGGTTTTACATTTTTCAGTTCCTGACTGACTGGGGACCAGGATATAGGCATAGGCGTAGATCCCGGGGATGGGGGATATACCCCCCCCCAATATTTGACATGGGGGGGGGGATGGTCCATTGTATCATCCCCCAATATTTTGACTACGTATGGGATAAAATGGAGCTTTACACACTTCAAAAGACTGTCACAGAAATAATTTGCAATGCCTTATGCGCTTACAAAGATGAAAATTAGCATAATGTATTAATGTTGATAACAAAATTATTTTATCTGGTACCAGTCTAAGCTCTTCTTTCCTTAGATGTTAGATGTGCTTGCAAAGCAAGCCACATTTTCACTCTGAAGGTTGTGTATGACATCAGTAATTCCAAGAATTTTCAATCATCCCCCACCCCAATGAAAAATACTTTTCTACGCCACTGGATATAGGCAATGGTCGTGTAATGTGTGGCGAAGTAACCAAAGTGGTTTATTGAGATGGTACTGACGTTACATAATATAAGATGCTTAGGAACTGATATATTTGATTTCAGCTTGTGAAGGCTAGCCTAAGCTGAGCTGATTTGATGGCGGCATATAAAATTGTACACTGTCTCGTACTTTACTACATAGACTGGGTTCCAGTGCCTAAACTGTCTTAATCAAAAAGCTGGAAAAATCGATTTTGGCACAAATGGCGTTCCATAGTATACTTTTTCTTGGATTAGGGACTGGGGAAACAGTGAGGATTTCGAGTGCAGGCACCACGATTTCGTGGTGGGTGACGTATTTAACAACTTTGATTTCCGATTGGCTAATTACCGCGGCATGAATTAAATATGCTAATTATGCTTCACCTCGGCCCAGCTACTGATAAGGAGGATTCAGGTCAGCTCAGCTTGTGCACCGCGAGGAGTGCTAGGCCCCTATCACAATTCGTCCAACCATGGAGGTAATATTTAAACGCACCTTCACAACAGAAGTGTGTCACATAGAAAGTAACCAACTTCATGCCGGTTAAAATCAAATCAGATGACGTCATAATCATGGAAAAACAAAAAAAAAAATCATTTTTCCATGATTATGACGTCATCTGCTTTGATTTGTCAAAATATGTTGTTATCGCATAACTGATAAATCGTTATCAAATCGTGTAAAAACTTCTCTTATTTCTTTTGTTTTCTATATGAACAATTGCTTTTTATCTTTTTTATCGTTATCGTTATCGTTGAAGTATAAACAGGCCTTAATGCCTACTAACCGAGGTTATCGCGATAAAAACCAAATGTCGGCAAACTTTTTCCTGATGTATGCGCAGATCAAAATTTGGACAAAAAGCGACTCAAAACTGGTGGTAGGGGGTATATGTTTTATCGCGACAGCTTACATTTTCTATCTAACCGAAAAACAAACATTTCTCACACAATTACATGTCCACCAGTACCTCTTGGGCACAATGTATTCCCGCTGCGAGGTACCGTTGAGGAGCCTATTTGTTTACAGACACACAGACAGGTTGTTGCCATACATACACACACACATTTCACATCTGTATCATCCCAATAGTTCCTTTCTGACTTAATAATAATAATAATAATAGTAATAATAACAATGATAATAATAGTAATAATAGTTATTATTATTGTTATTATAAGAATATAAACATTGTACACTGTGTGTGCGAGCAATGTAATTTCCTCTTACTTTGACTTTTATATCCCAATGTAATATTTTCCCGAATTCTGAATCGCACATAAATGTTATTGTCAACGTCAAGCACTATCAACATCCAGATATTCCGTTTGCACATCAGCATCAATTGTATCATAAATATTTTTTTCACTGAAGAAATCTCAAAAACAAAAATTGAGCCATCTCAGTTCAAAGATCAGCATTGTTTATTCATTCGAAAAAAAATTAAAAAATTAGATATTTTGCTTTCCTTTGTTATTTTTTTTTTATGTTCCAAGTAGGTTCGACTACTAGTACTTGTAACTGTACTTGATTTTATATTTCAATATTGTAAACATAAATATTTTTGAGTTTTGCTGGTTTTTTTTTTGGTGCTTTTAATGTTTTTCTCTTCTTGTAGGCCTATTTGTTGTCTATACCAGTAGCACTGCATTTATACAGCCATCATTCTCTGGATTATTAGTTACTTGTGCATATTTACCTGTATGATAAAATAAAAATAGAGAAATTTCCTGAGGAAATGATAGCATAGTAGCAGTAATAATATATATTATTTGAATAATAACAGAATGAAAATAAAATTACAAAAAATAATGAAGCATAACATATGAATTAATAAATGACATATTCCTTCTACATATAAAAGTCTTTGTTCTGATTTTTTCCTTCTACCCCGTTTTTTTCACAGGGTTTTTTTTTAACCTCCACTTCATTTTCTGTGCTTGGATTGCCATTTGTCACCAAATGTCATTCTACATATGTTTTGATAACTGGTAATTTACTTTTTATAAAGTTTTCCAAATGCAAAATTACCGTGAAATACTTCGCTGTCAACCTATATTATTATTATTATTATGTATAAACTTTATTTCGCAAATTCAATGCATATACACAAAACAATAAAATAGCAGTATTTAAATTGGAAATATATTAATTTAAAATGTCAGACCAGCTTGACATACAATTTAGAATTTACTCAGGTTATTGTTAAATATTCTTGGAATCGGCGCGTTATTGTATTATTATTATTATGTATAAACTTTATTTCGCAAATTCAATGCATATACACAAAACAATAAAATAGTATTCAAATTGGAAATATATTAATTTAAAATTTCAGACCAGCTGACATACAATTTAGAATTTACTCAGGTTGTTATTGTTAAATATTCTTGGAATCGGCACGTTATTGTATTATTATTATGTATAAACTTTATTTCGCAAATTCAATGCATATACACAAAACAATAAAATAGCAGTATTCAAATTGGAAATATATTAATTTAAAATGTCAGACCAGCTGAAATACAATTTAGAATTTACTCAGGTTGTTATTGTTAAATATTCTTGGAATCAGCGCGTTATTGTATTATTATTATTATGTATAAAATTTATTTCGCAAATTCAATGCATATACACAAAACAATAAAATAGCAGTATTCAAATTGGAAATATATTAATTTAAAATGTCAGACCAGCTGACATACAATTTAGAATTTACTCAGGTTATTGTTAAATATTCTTGGAATCGGCGCATTATTGTATTATTATTATTATGTATAAACTTTATTTCGCAAATTCAATGCATATACACAAAACAATAAAATAACAGTATTCAAATTGGAAATATATTAATTTAAAATGTCAGACCAGCTGACATACAATTTAGATTACTCAGGTTGTTATTGTTAAATATTCTTGTAATCGGCGCGTTATTGTATTATTATTATGTATAAACTTTATTTTTAGCAAATTCAATGCATATACACAAAACAATATCCAGTCCCGGATACATTTTCTCGCAATTTACATTGGCAGATCTGGGGAGTCCGGGGTTCCTACCCCCTTCCCCTGGGAAAAAAAAGAAAGAAAAAATTTAAAAAAAAAATATTCTAGACCTACCTTTTTAGGATCCGTGAACTGAATTTTTTTGTTTTTTACAATATGAAAATCCGACAAGTCCATTTTACAAAGTATTTTAACCTTTTGTTTAGTTTGTGTCTTTGGTAGTCTAAGATCCAAGGATCAACATCTTTTAACCAGAATTGTTAAGCAAGCATCCAGAATTATTTGTGTTGAGCAAGCTCATCCGGATATTTTATACAATAACTTAGCTTTAAAGAAAATCAACTCTATATTATCTGATCGTACTCATCCGCTTTTTAATAAATTTGTGAAAAGTAATAGAAGCAATCGCATATTACAACTAACAGATATGGAAAGTCATTCGTTCCTACTGCAATTATATTTTATAATGTTTTAGTGTAATAACTGTCTCTTATACACATCTTTATTGTATTATTATTATTATGTATAAACTTTATTTCGCAAATTCAATGCATATACACAAAACAATAAAATAACAGTATTCAAATTGGAAATATATTAATTTAAAATGTCAGACCAGCTGACATACAATTTAGAATTTACTCAGGTTGTTGTTGTTAAATATTCTTGGAATCGACGCGTTATAAATTTCTGCATATTTTTATTATTAATATTATTATTAATATCAGCATTACTACTAACGCTACCAATACCACCACCATTACTACTACTATTTTTATTATTATTTTGCAATTTAATTTTTTTACCATTTCGTTGGGTGAAGCCAAATGACATAATACCTTCCCACAATGCACATCGTGTGAATACTTGTTTCTTTCATTAGACCAATGTACTTTACAGTTCATGGTTACAAGGTACAATATTCAATAACATGCTTCTTTAAATTATGAATATAGGCTTATATACCTTTTGTTAATGTTTTTCCCTTTCTATGCATCGTTGGAAATAATTGACTATTATTATCTAATAAACTTACCCCAAACAACTTTTCCACCTTGTGTTACAAGACCTAGTTCACTGACATTAACCTGCAGGAAATTTAAATAAGGATGAAGAAATAAAAACATAAAAATGTTCAGGGGTTTAGATAAAAATGAGGCAACAAGCCACATCCAAGCCAACCAGAAAAAGAACAGATCAGGATATTATTATTTTCATCTGGTCACCTCTAGATGGCTGGAAATGGTACTCTCAGACCTATATTTAAATTACCGTAGACATTTCTTTATTCTCCATTTAACTTATAATTTTGAATAATTTAGGAGCCAATTAGAAATCAACATTTTTTGGGGAGAACACAAACCCCCCTTTCTTTTTGGAATTTATAGATTCATGTGAAAAGAATAGGTACTGTATGCAATAAATTTTTTTCACGCTGCACTTTTAGGTTGCTACGATCAAGAGGAAACAGTCATTAAGAAACTGTAGGTAGCGGTAGCTTTTGCTACGAAGGAACGAGAATTCCAAACTAATGAATGTGCAAGCGCAGTTACCAAAGGACGTTAGTGAAATATGTATAAAAACACAGTGAGCATGTGCATGGAAATGCTAGACAGCAAGTGAGCATGTGCACTTAGTGACGTTATCGAGCTATGTCAAGCATGCGCAGTTACCAAAAAGACGTCTCAGGAACCAAACAGCGTCTGCGAGGAGGGTATGAAATTGGGAAAAGTCACGTTTTTTTATGCAATAATTAAGCATGCGCAACTCAAGCTAACGCGATCATGCATGGCTATGAAAAATTGAAAAAAATAAGAATTCTGGTCGAAAAGCCTTGGCTATCAAAGGCACAGTGTATCAAGAGTGCATCATATAATTGTCAGGAGAATTGTAATTTTGCAAACAACAGTTTATTTATAGACCTACATTGACGATCCGATAAAAAAATAACCAGAGAAACTGATGACACAACCTACATCAAATCATATATCACTTTCTACATTTCTAATGTGAAGTACTCTTTAGTATGTTTTTTTTTAATTATTTTAATCCTGTGATCGCAATGTAAATAGCTTCGTGGATATTGGTACACCAGTTGTAAACCAATTCCATCTGTAGGCTATTTTTATGTTTATGTGTCATAACATAAAAGAAATGCATTGAAGATGATATACCGTAGGTCATTCTCAAGTATACATTAATTTTAATATTAAGTTTGGAAATACAAACCAGTCATAAGTTAAAGATGTTGCAACATTTTTTTATAGGAAATACATGCTTCACTTCACAGCAATCGGGATTTGTTTCTTTATTCTAATCTAAGGGGGGCCCCCTCCTTTTTTGGCAGAAAATACATAATGTCTATGCAGATTTTCTATGAAATGCAAGAAAAACAAGAGGGAAGAAGGGGGAGAGGGAGGGAAAGGAGAGTGTATATCCAGTCCCGGATACATTTTCTCGCAATTTACATTGGCAGATCTGGGGAGTCCGGGGTTCCTACCCCCTTCCCCTGGGCAAAAAAAGAAAGAAAAAATTTTAAAAAAAAATATTCTAGACCTACCTTTTTAGGATCCGTGAACTGAATTTTTTTGTTTTTTACAATATGAAAATCCGACAAGTCCATTTTACAAAGTATTTTAACCTTTTGTTTAGTTTGTGTCTTTGGTAGTCTAAGATCCAAGGATCAACATCTTTTAACCAGAATTGTTAAGCAAGCATCCAGAATTATTTGTGTTGAGCAAGCTCATCCGGATATTTTATACAATAACTTAGCTTTAAAGAAAATCAACTCTATATTATCTGATCGTACTCATCCGCTTTTTAATAAATTTGTGAAAAGTAATAGAAGCAATCGCATATTACAACTAACAGATATGGAAAGTCATTCGTTCCTACTGCAATTATATTTTATAATGTTTTAGTGTAATAATTATTTTAAACCTACAAACTGATTTTTAACTGAGGAATTCTGTGTTTATATTTGTCTATTTTTGTTGTTAACATGTTGTATGGTCAAGGCCAAATGAGTTTTCCCATTGTGGGATAAAAATTTTTTATTGAACTGAATTGAATAGAATATATAAATCAAAATTTCCTCAAAGAAGGTCCCTGACCCCCTTTTCTTTTTGGAGTTCACCTATTCATGGAAAAAAGAATATGTATGCAATGTATGTACCTGATACACACATACAGTAATAGGGCTATTTACTGTAATGAGAAAAATTTACCTGACCGTTTTTAGGAAGAGAAAACCTTGAATTTTGAAGAACTTTAAAAGACACTCCAGAAGACAGGAAAGCTCATTTTTCGCCAATTAGAAATCAACATTTTTCGGGGAGAACACGAACCCCACTTTCTTTTTGGAATTTATAGATTCATGTAAAAAGAATAGGTACTGTATGCAATTACTCAATTTTTTTCACGCTGCACCTTTAGGTTGCTACGATCAAGAGGAAACAGTCATTAAGAAACTGTAGGTAGCGGTAGCTTTTGCTACGAAGGAACGAGAATTCCAAACTAATGAATGCACAAGCGCAGTTACCAAAGGACGTTAGTGAAATATGTATAAAAACACAGTGAGCTTTTATGTATACTTTATACAGTAATAAAGTGCGCCCTCTCTAATGAAATTAGTTTTTATACTTCGCATCTCGCACACTGCGGTCGATCGAGTAGGCCTGAGATATGTTTGTTTAATGGTCAAAATCTCGGTTAGAATCATTTTTTAAACAGATTTGAAATAATTCCTAGAAATATTTTATTTTATTAAATATTTTTTATGTGTGATAACATAACCTAAATCGAGGTAAGGCTAGGCCTAGCTAGCAGTGTTAAATAGGCTAATGTTTTTGGCGCCTACTATATTTCTTCACAGACCTATCGCAAAATCAAACATGAAAAATCCATCTACATTATTTTTTGTGTGGAACACAAAAAAATCAAATCTCAGTCTTACATTTTTTTCATGTTTAGGAATGTCTAAATTCAGTTAAACCAGCAATTTCGTATTATATTTAAAATTTTTTTTTTTTTTCTCTTTTGTGGGAGTTACACCCACTTTTATTTCATTTCTCTTTTCTTAGTTTAATAACAATTTTTTTTTTTTTACACATGAAATAATGACATAACGGTAATTATAAAGGCCATTGAATAATAATAATAATGATAATAATAATAATAATAGTAATAATAATAGTAATAATAATAACCACTTTCTTATAATTTAACATCCATTAAAGGTTAGTCCCTTTAAAGCTGCATAAACAGTAATTCGTAGTTTAACATTATTTTCATTATAATATTTTGAATAGATTTGTTTTTTCTCAAATAAAACTTGAATATTAATACAAACTTGCTTAAATATTTTTTACTTTTTTTCCTTAATTTTTTGTTTCTTTCAAATCAAAGTATCTGACGGTTCATCACTTCACACATGCACAAATAATATAACAGACAAACAATGAAGTACAAAATGACAGGTTAGATATACTGCCACATACATACATATATATACATACACAAACACACACATATATATACATATACATGCATATACATATATATACACATACATGATTACGGTTCATCAATGATCGGATTGGTACTCTTATTTCTTTATGGCTCATTATTATGATCCAAGATGTGCAGTATGCTATGAGGTAGTAATTATCCCATATTGAAATTGGAATATATCAATAATAATATTTCATGAAATAACAAACAATAATCAATCAATAAATTCAGTTCATCGAACCACAGTCGGCTTGTGAATAAATAAAACCATTTGTTTATACAGTACAGTCGTTTATAAAGGTGTACAGTATGTAGTTTGAACACTTTACATTAACAATATTGCTAGAGACCATATTGATACCTAATAATTTTTTGTTTATTGAGTGCGTATAATCCATCTTTGCCTATGTTTATCATCTGAATGTATTCTAGCTTCATTATCATATTGACTTTTCACACTTGAATTAATTTGCAAAATAAGACCCATGGATCTGTTGTTACTGGTATAACCTGTTTGGATAAATTGTATAAGCTGCTTTTGCAATTAATTCATTAGTGATGTCGTTTTTTTTTGCTATACCTAATACAACATTTTTGAAAGTAATATTAATCTTAATTTTAAATATAGATGCAACATTATTCCAATAGTTTCCTAGACTTTTGCACGTCATTAACATATGTTCTTCATCAGTAATCGTTGCACAATGTACACACAATGGTGAATCATCTAATTTCCATTGATATAACCTTTTCTTAGTTGGTAAAATTCTATGTAGTAATTTAAAGTTAAATTCAGCTATTTTTGGAGTCTTTATCTCTTTAACTTGTTTTGTCCATACTTTCTCCCAATCAATATTATTACCTGTAAATATCTCATTCCATTTACCTTCACATTTTGGTTTTAATGAGCTTGACTTAGGCCTGAATTTAGGAGATATTCCCATGACTGAACCATGTCGTAAAGACACTAGGCGTTGCCGCAAAAAGGGAAACCCTAAACCAAAGAAGAGAAAGGCCTCAACTGCCGAATCGGCGGTTGTATTGTCTAAAATATCAAAGTTGGAAAATCAACTTGAGCTCCTGTTGCAACAGCAATCCAGCAGCAACAGTCTACTCTCTCCGACTCGGAGATGTTGTGTAGGCCAAGGCCTAGGCATAATAAGCCTAATGATAATATAAATGTTATTTCGTCTTCAGACACTGATAATGACGGTAACATTAGTATTCTCTGTCCTAGAGACGATCGAGCCGAGCCACTTAGTAGTGGTGAGGAATATCATTCCCCAAGGGGAAAAGATAACAGCAGGAGTAATAATACTCATACTGTTGGCTCTGTTGTTGTAGGAAGAGGGGACACCCCTGCAGACAACCATACACTGCTGAATAAATTCAAAGCAGTTAAAACATCTTCAGCCAGTATTCCTGCGGAAATTGCCACGTCAGTTAACAGCATGTTACTGTAAGTGAAAGGCTGGACAAAAAAGTCATTCAGGAGACTTGTGAAAAGTACTTGGCCCCGGAGAATACTCCGAATCTGGTTGTACCACATGTTAACCCTCCTATATGGGACGGACTT